ATCAATTAAGTTCAAGCAATGCTCAAATTTAATAATAAGAAGTGATTTTGTCATCGCATCAGCAGAATTATCATTGGTATCAACTTTGCTCACTACAATATCAATACGAGCAATTATACCACGTACAAAATGATACCTCACATCAACGTGTTTAGTCTTTCCATGAAACATCTGAGCCCTAGTAAAAAAGATAACGCTCTGATGATCACAATACACTGTAGAAATCTACAAGTTTTCACTGATTTCACTAATTAATATTCTCAACCACATAACTTCTTTGCATGTCTCTGTGATGGCCATGTACTCTGCCTCTATTGTAGATAAAACTACTATATTTAGTGAAGTGGCTTTTCAGTTGATAGCACAGCCTCTAACGGTAAACAGATATCATGTAACTGATATCATTTTGTCAAAATCCCCAGCATAATCTCAATCCATATACCCAATGACTCCATCTGTATTTCTACCAAAATGAAAGAAAACTTTAGAAGAGTCCCTCAAATAACTGAATATCCACTATATTGTTATCCAATGCTCCTTGATAGGATTTGCTATGTACCCACTAATTGCAGTGACTGCATATGTCAAATCTGATCTTGTACAAACTGTAAGATACATAAACAAATCAACTGCACTGAAATAAGAAACTCGAAACATATAATCAATGTCTTCATCTGACTCAGGGCACAAGCTAAATGATAATTTAAAGTGGGCAGCCAATGTTGAGGTTGGATAAATATTTTTGGCTAGCCTCAACCTCACAGCAGCACTAGTTTTCTCATCTACTTCCTTCGATCCCCTTTTTCCAATCCCAATTAACTCCATTTCCATCAAACAAGAACCTTTAAAGAATTGAGAAGAAATAAATAAAGATAGAAAGTTCTCTTAAATGCCAACAATAGAGGTGAAGGTGAAGGCTCGCCCATCTACCATGGGTGGAGTTAGGTGGCTTAGGGTTTAGGTGTTGGTGTTGAGTGGTAACGTGGATTGGGAAAGATGAATATTTTTTGTCAACTAACATATTTTTAGATGAAAATCATTAGACGTATTTCTAGCGCATATTTATTAAAGGTTTGGGATCTCTACTGTACATTTTTAAAAGGTTTGGGACCTCCATATAAATTTCCTTTTTAATTAATTAAAGGCCAAATTACTATTTTGCCTTTTTTTAAATGGTCAAATTATGATCAAATGTCGAATTTTGAACAACTAACATGGCTTTGGGTGGAAACCATCCAGA